GAGTTTTTCCTCTCTACTGTGGCTACAAGCATGCTTAGTGTGGGGGATTGTATTTGAGTCAATGAGTCAATGCAATCAACTGGGTTTCCTTAGATAGAAAACTTTGAATCATTTTGACTGTATGATCTGGTTGAACTGTAAAGTGCCTTGAGATGACTTGTGTTGTGAACTGGTGCTATATGAATAAACTGAATTGAATTGAATCATCCAGCTTGGGAAATTTTAAAATCCATGTTGAAAAAAGGAAAATAAATAAATTATAAGCTTTGGATGGACAGTTGAAAAGAAAATAAAAGAATTTAAAAAGACCAATTTAGAAATAACTCAGACAACACCAATATCAGTTATACCTCCATGGATTCTACTAGAAGCAATAGTAGATATGTCACTAATGGAAAAGAAACAAGGTAAATTGTACACGGTAGACAGTTATTATGAATATATTCAAAGTTATACAGATACATCAAAAATAACAAGGTAAATGGGAATAGCTTTTGTAATACCAGAATTCAAAATAGGAAATGAATTTCAGATGGATTATCACGATACACAGGCGAAATGTTGGCAATATTATTTGCTTTACTAGCTTTAACTGGGTAAAAGACTTTAAACCATTAAAAACAGTAATAAGTAAGCTTTGCAATATTAAGTTTAAAATATGATCAATCAGATAGTAGGATGGACATTCTATTAGATATATTTCATACATTATCCAGAATAAAAATATGGGTTTGATAGTTGTATTTATGTTCCAGCACATATGTTGGATTCAGAAAAAGATGTTGAAATCTCTGAAAGGTCGGACACAGGCGAGAGCGTATCGGGAGACGGAGACCAACAAGACCTCCCTCATCCTTGGCTCTATCTCCAAGAATTTTTTGAAATTGTCAAAAAATTGAGCTTTCAATTAATATAGTGGCATTTGGCTGTTTTTTTTTTAAAGGTTACTTTATCCTTTTATATTTTAAGTAGTTTTTGGAGCACATAATTTTTCACTTTTACTTGAGTAAGGAGGTCAAGTTGATACTTCAACTTTTACCAGTGTTTTTAAACTGCAGTATCTATACTTCTACTTAAGTAACAAATGTGTGACCTTTTGAAACCACTGCAAATTTGATCACTAAGGAAAATACGAAACAATAGAATATGCTATTCTAGAATGTCATAAATATGAAAGCGAGAGAAGATATATGAGGAGAGAGTTTGAATGTATTAGGAAAAAGATGAATTTATAAGATATTTTGAGGAAGAATTTGGGGAGTAAACATATACAAATAATTATTAGATTTTTAAAGAAAACTAAATTATTTCATAGAATTTGATTATAGAGAGCATGAATGTCTGTATCATATAGACGGGTAGAATACAAAGTTGTGTATAAGTATGTAGTTTGTTTTATTGTTTGTTTGTTTCTTTTCTTTTTTCCCTTAGAAATCATATATATGTTCATTCAGTAGATAGTCCATCACGAACCAAACTCCATACATTGGCGTTAATGCTACTAAATGTTTGTTGCCAACCGCCAATAAACCCGAGATGAAGAAGATAGAGTCGTTCCAGTTCACACTCCAGATCAGTGGGGGCGGTAATGCGCACTTGCAGTTTGTCAACCGCCAAGAAAAACCTACAAAGAAGGAGAAGAAACAGGAAGTAAACCAAAAGGCGCGCGGAAGCGGTAGTGCGGAATCAGATTGAAGCTTTGTTTTTTTTCCCCGTCTCTCTGCCGAATATTTCAGCAACAATGTCTTCAGTTCCACATCTGAGGGAGTTTATCAGAGAGCGACTAACTGTTGCTGCTGAAGAAATCTTCACGGAGGTTGAAAAAACCATCCTCCGCTATGAGGAAGACATCAGACTGATGGAAATCTACTGGAAACCTCAGATAAAACTCAACAGAATCGGTAAGAAGCTACTAAACGGTCATTCAGTTAGATCAATTTTTATTAGTGATTGGTTAAAGAGACATGCTAAAGCGTTTTGACTCAGTGCCAAACTATTGATACTGCATTAATACTGTCTCACAGAATACTGCCACCTGCTGGACATTTAAAGACACTACAGGCAGCCCATTGGACAGACTAAACTGAATTGATTTGATGACCTAAAACAATGATATAATTTTACTTATTGTAGGTTATATTGTATGACTTCATATCTATGTTTAAGTTAAAAATATTTTTTATATTTTGTCATAAGTTGAACATTTAGGGGAAAATGTGAATGAGTATGCTTTTGTCGACGAGGATTTTAAATCATGGTTTTAAAACAATAAGTACAGTAAATAAACTAAGAGTCAGTTTGAAATTAACTTTAATTCAGATAAGTGGAGTGATAACTGAGAGGAGAAGGATAACTCAATGAGAAAAATTTAATAAAAACGCAACGGCTGAAACGTTCCTATTCCTTTTAAGCTGCTCCAAAATTGTTCATAGTTTTAATGATCAACAGCAAAAGATGAGATTTTTTTTTCTTTTTTAGCAAATGCATCATGGTGACAAGTTTTTAAACACAGGTTAGTGAGTCGATCATAAACAACTCCTGTATCGGTCACATGACTTTCTTGAAATGACGCACGTTTTGCTGTATGGGCTCCATGCATGCACTGAAGCAGGGGGAGATTTACCATTAGGCAATTCCCAGTTGCCTAGGGTCCCAAGTTCCTGGGGGCCAAACATTCCTTATTTGCAAATTATGGTTTTGATAAAATTTATGGTAGTAAATCTGTGTCGCTGGGATTTGAATTAAAAATGCCACTGAAATTTTAATGTTGTATGTTTGTACTTACTGTTTCAGTGTTAAAATATATTCAGAACACATTTTTGACCTAAATAGAAGTTCATTGTCATTATTTCTACGCAGTTGAAATTTTATTTGTTATTTTCTCTTCAAGCTAAAAATTCACATTACTAATTTAAAGTGATTACATTTTCAATACTTATTTTTTAGTTTCAATACTTATTTTTCTGCAAAAGATCTGTTTAGAAATTGGCTTTTTTTCCTCTTAAAACACTTCTTACTTAGCATCTTCAGGTTAAAAGTAATAGGTAATAGTTGGTTAAGTAAAGCCATCAATCTGGCTTTTAGCTAGCAATATTCAAAGGGTGTTTGCCTTTGTGTATTTAGGCTTTGCATGGTGAGGGTATGCTCCCCCTGAAAATGTTGAAATTCAGACTAGGGCTGCAACAACGAATCGATAAAATCGATAAAAATTGACTTTTAAAAGCGTTGGCAACGAATTTCATCATCGATTAGTTGTGTTGCGCGATTAATGCGTCATCCGCCGCCACCGTCATCACATCCACTTGACTGAAACGGGGGAAGAAAAAAAATACGACAGAGCGAG